TATTAACATTATGTTTACTCGCCATTATATTTGAGCTACTAAAATTTTTATAAAACTTCCAAAAAAGTTAAAAAAAAATGTTTAATAAAATCGAACTATTCATTTTGTTTGAAAATTCATTTTTTTCTGTCTATTTTAGTAGGATTAGGAGTAGGAATTGCCGCATGTGGCGTTGCATTCAAATGGCTGTGGCATTTTGGCCCAACTGCATTCCGTTTTCGATTCCCATTTCAATTCATTGGGGACGTCTGTGGCCGTTTTGGGGCGTGGCTGGTCGTGTGGGACTGGCCGGTTGGAGAGAACTTTTTTGGCTCGCCATGTTGACTTTGCGTTTAATTGTTTTATTGTCCGCCAAGTGTCGGCCATCACACACACACACACCCACCAGCACAGACACTCTTGAAGTTTGCACTCGTGCGGCCAGTTTGGCACTGTCGTTGACCTCGTTGGCGAATTCCCGCTCGGTTCGACCGCCCCCACCACTCCACCCCTCACTGCACATCCCGGAATCTGAATTTTTTTTCCCACTTTTCGGTTCGCTGAGTTGTCGAATTCAGAACGAAAAAGGGAGACCGCCGCCACCGCCTGCTGTCTGATATACGAGCTTCTGGCGGCTGCACAAATTATGCCAAGTGCAATACTTGAGGCAGCTGCCAGGGCATGGGCGTGGCACTGGCTCCTTTGCAGCAGATTGGCAGCTTTAATTAACTTGATGCACAGGGCGCAAAAAAATTCGTCGAATATTGAAGGGGCTTAGTTGGATTATAGCCTTAAGATAGGTTTTTAAAAAATAAAACTTGGTCTTTTTAAAATAGAAAATATAAAGCTTAGAAGCATTTACTTGACAATTTTTAGAGGTTGCTTATAGGTAACAATTGGACCTAACAAAAAGTACAATTCATCAATGACTTTAATAAAATTAATTTGCACTTTTAAGAAAAATACCCATATCTTTTTTTTGCGGTACCGAAAAATCTCATTACTGTCTTGACGTTGTTATTGCGATGCGCATGCAAATGAACACATTGAGTCCTCAACTTAATTTCAATTTTTATTAACAAGAAACTTCATTATGAAAGTTCAACAACTTGAAGAGCAAACAAACTCTCTTTAGAGCAGCGTTCTTTTTGTAAATATGGCTTTATCCCGGGTCTAAGCTGGCTATAACAAGACATTAAGCCGACACATACACATAATAATAAAAGTTGCATGTGTTTGTGTTGCGGTCTCAGACAGAATCAGACGGAACCAAAATATTTGGCCACTGCAGAGTGCAACAACACGAAAGAGCTGGCTGAGCTTCCAGGTGGCTGAGCAGAAAAACCAGAACTCAACCGAAACAAAATACCCAAAACAAACAGAACGGGAGAATTACTTTAATGGGGGTCCACTTGTACTGGCCAAGGTAAGAAGTTGCGTGCCGAACATCCATAAGTTTTCCGCCTGTTGGCAATCTGGTCACATATCCTGAGCCAGGACCCACGTCAGCCACTTCCAAATGCATGCATACCATACCCGGACCGGGGGATATATGGATATATATGTGTGTACACTTGACTTGTCAGCCTGTTAATTTGCTAAATAATTTTCGAATCTGCCCCGCCCACTATTTGGTGTGCGGGAGCAGTAACTCAAGTTGGCACGCCCCCTTAAAGGCGGAACGTGCCAAATATTCGAGATGCGGATGTGTAAGCACAATCCAGGCTTTAGCCAAATTCCAAAAGGGATATTCGAGTTTTGGCCAGGGAGGAGGGATGAAAACTATTTATGATTTCCCAACACGATTCATCCTACACCTTTTGCTACTCTTTCGTTTATTTGTTTGTCGTTTGCTGACTACGTGAGATTGTTGGGTGTTAAAAAAAGCAAAAAAAAAAAGTAAAACAGAAAACACTCGCACATAAACCGAATGTCCTTCCGACCCAAACATGCTTTCATCAATTAGCGTTGAAGATTTAATTGCGGCACGTGTGAACTTAATTAAATGGCATTAGTTTGTGTAATTGTAGTCACGATACGAACGACCGCACAGCACCGACTGCCACGCCTTAATTATGGGTCCTTCGCCCCCCAAAAACTGTGTGCAATTTAAGTGCAGCTTTCTCAACTGCATTTGCATTCCAATTAATTTTTGAGCACGCATGCAATATGAAATTTTTTCGGTTGACTTTTGTTTTGCCAGCAAAGGGTAAAATTTAACGAAAAAAAAAGAAAATGAGAATTTCGTTATTATTATGGCACAGGTCCTGCAAAGGTGTTTAGCCATGGGAGGCGGGTAGGAAGGGGTCTGCCAACTTTAGTTGCATTTAATTAGCATTATTGTCATGGCAACGGCAAAAAGCATTTGCGGTGTAAATTAACTTAGCATCTGAGGGCCTGCCCCCCAAAATGTGGGCAGGGCTATCCGGCATGTGGGTAATTCAAAACAATTTTAATTATATTATGCACAGCAATAGTTATTAATTGTGCAAGCAAATTATGGAGATGCAATTTGGGGTCTGTGCGTGGTTGATCCCATCAGGTCAGCTCGTTTGTTAGCTGCAAGTTTCTGGTTTGGCAGAATAACATAAGGGAGAGGAAAGGATTTACTGCATACAAATCCAGTGGTTATATTAACACAAAACTGTCTTACATTTATGCAAATTGCCCAATCTCTTGCCAATCTTGGCATGAAGGCTAATTACCCAGAACACCAATAAGTAAATTATTGTCTATGTTGGTCATGAGGTACTTTAAAACAAAGTCTACTTAATCCGACAACCATTTCCAGTCATATTTTATTTTGGAACATTGAAAATTACTAAAAAAGAAGGCTTTATATGTAGGATGTTTTATTAAACAAGTAAAACATTAAATTTCCCTGAAAAACTGGTCGGAAAATGCTAATCATGCAATTTGTGTTATATGTTTAGTTTGGTCCTGCATGTTTTGCATTTATTTAAGCTGGAAGCTTTGAAAAGGACTTTTCCAAAGCCAGGTGGCTTCGCAAAGCCAACTAGTAATAATAATAGAAGGCCACAAACAACCATGGCTAAAATAACTAACAACGAAATTGCTGCTCTAATTTTAGGCAATAATGCTCAAAAATTACCTGAAACGACAAACAAAAATTTTCCGCAAACGAGCTGGCTATTTAATTCCGTGTGAAAGCAATATCCCTGTTGTGTTTTTGTCCACAATTTCTGTTAAAATTCTTGTCACTGCACTTAAATAATGTAAATATAATTTGGCTGTTTGCCGCTGTCTGCGATTTGAAAACATTTTATGCGAGCCCATGTTCGGGTCAGGCCAAAAACTGCCACTGGATGTTTTTGTTTGTTTTTTTTTTTTCATTAAGTCCTAGCCCTGTTTGCCATTTCATTCAACTGCACTCAGGTGACAATGCAACTAATTACGGTCAACAATGTGGCACGGTCCTGTGTACCCCAGACCACTGAGTCGCTCCGTTAAATAAATCAGAAAGTAATTAAAACAACACGAAATTTGTTAGTGAATTACAGGCGCAGTTTTGGTTCGAATGGTAGTGGAAACAGGACTTGCTTTTCCTGTTTTTGGATTCCTTTTTTCCACCAAACAGAATAAATTGGAATTCTTGGGAAACTAGAAATATTTATGGGAGGAGGAGTTGAAAAATATGTATACTTAAATTTAAATGCTTTGCTTATCATTATCTTAGTTGAAAAACCAGAATTGATAATTACACATTTGTGGAAAAGTCATGATAATTAGACTATCGCTTGTGGCGGCAATACGTCATAGCTGGCTGTCAAAAGCCAACGCGATTTATGGCCTGGCCTAATCTGCGTCCGGCTAATTTAAGAATTTGAAATCAATTTATGCCCCAGCGAGGGGAAAGTTTCTCAAAAGTACGTCCAAGTACGTTTGAAGCAAGAAATGTACATTAGTTGTGGCTAAAAGTGTGCGAGTACTTTTTTTGGTTCGTGTTTTTTCTCACACTTTCTGTTTTTGTCCTTTGCCGCAGGCGGAATTTTCATTAAAGCATTTTTGATGTCTAATTTGCATATTTTTGCAGCTGGCCGAGTTGCATGCCGACACTGTGAGGCTGCTGCTGCCAGGCAAGTGACACGTTAAGCATTCAGAAATGGTTGCCAAGTGGGTGTGCCGTGGGTGGTAAGAGGATGGACGATGGTTGAATGGCTCAACGGTTGGGTGCTACACACTACTGCACTTGCAAAGAAAAGTGCAAGCAGGTTTTTTGTTTCTGGTACTTTTCTCGGCTGATGGCTGGCTGTCAGTTTGCTCGTTGTCCTGCGACCATCCAACATCCTTTCAGCTCAGATTTTTCGGCCTGGACAAAGTGTCGAGTGGCAACACTAATTCGCATGCTGCCCCACAACAGCCCCAGCATCAGCAACAACAACAACAACAACAACAGCATCTGTTGCCAGTGAACATGGAAAATGTAAGCCCCCATATACCCTCATACACCCATAACCCTCATGGTAGTACCTCCTTCTATGATGCTTGTATTTTTTGTTAGATTTTCAGCTAAATTTGTGCCAGCGCTTTTTGCGCTTGCTTTTTGTTAATTTCCAATTTTCAAACCATTTCTCTTCTCTCATCCTTTGTGTGTGAGTGTGTGGGTGGGTGTATAGTGTGTGTGCACAGCTGGTGTGCTTTATGCTCGTCTGTCCGTGTGTGAGTCTTTGGTCAACATTTCGTTTGGCTCATGGCATTAATTCAATTACTGTTTGCATATTGCCAGTGAAACCAAAGCACCCACATCCAGCTATAGAATGGAGTTCAGAACTCGGAACTCGGAATTCGGGACTCGGGACTCATGTAAGCGTTATCCTTTCTCCTTTACAATGCATATGCACCGCACGGATCTGAGATGCACCTTCCAAAAAGGGCAAAATTAAATCGAAGCTTAAATGTGGAAGTCATAGGAATCGACAGCAGCCATAATTGATTTAAAATTATCCCAACATTGTTATGGCAATTATGAGAAGATAAATTAAATAGCAGGTGTTACTTACCACAGCTTTGGAGAACATGGCTTTTGAATTAGGCTTTAGTTGATTATTTTTAAATAATAATTTTTGTGTGCACTCAGCTTGTATTTTATATCTGAGATTAAAAGTCTCAATTCCTTGTCATAGTCCTTTGAAGGATGGTATATCAATATTTTCACAGACTGCCGGACAAGGAGTTATTTTTCAATGAATTTACACCGACCATTCGGAGCGATCGCGTCGCGATTTTAGGCTTCTGATGGTGTAGCCGTTGGAGCGAATAATGAGCCACCAAGTGCCAGATGCTTGGCCATTTATAATCTGGCCGATGGAAGTGGCGGCGCTGGGAAGTAGGCAGCCAACTGGTTAAACCACCGGACGATGCTGTTTTTAGATACGCCACCTGTTTGTTTGTGTATAGGAGAGCGATTGTCATTGGGAGCGGAAAAGCCAGCGGAACGCTTCAAGTAATTAGTATGCTATCGCAAACAGTGGTCGACAAAATAATACCTCTAATAAAAATATTTAATCAATTTTTGGCAAACTTTATCTAAAAACAAGTTGACTGAGCGAACATTAGAACGATTAGAACATTTTATATATACCACAACTAATGCTAATATTGTGCCCGCCACTGTTGCCTTGGAGTAAGAAGGATAAAGCTGGACGTCACCATGGCCATCGTCATCAGCACCATTATATAGAACTCAGGGCTTATATGCAGAAGTGGCAACTAACTGAGCAGTGGCAGCTTGCTTATCTTCACTCACACAGGCAAACAGCCAGAGAGAGAGAGTGAGGCGGGACTGGGACAGGAAGACTCACCCACACTGCAGCGGAATATCCCGCCGCGCCGATAACATTTGAATTTTTTGCTTGATTTATGAGCATAACATGAAACTAACTCTCTGACATATCGGAACAAGATACAACAACATCAACAAAAACCGTTCAGACCGTAAAAGTCCAACAACCGAACGCTGACGCATTTCAGAATGGAAACTGAATCGAGTCATTATTCGCAAATTCATAGCTTTGAGCTTGGATTTCATATGGAAATATTTTCCCAAATGATTATGGTTTCTTGTTGTTGTGTTTGCCTGAAAGGAGACGAACTTTCAAATATTTTCCAGAACAAAGGTAAAGAGAATGTATCATTTTTAATTAATTCAATCAAGGAATCTTTGTGTGCCATTGTATTAATAATATTTTCTTGCATAGGAAATTGTAGTTTATTAAGAGATATATTTTACTTGTATTCACAGATCCCTTACACATTTTCAAAGCGTTTGCTTTTGGCTTAAGGGGCCCATCCACAGGCGAGCATGTTCGTCAACATGCTCGCCTACTTGAATTTCATTTTCCCCACTAACTAGAGCCAAAATTCGTGCGAACATCATTTTTCGATCAATTTTTTCGAACATCATCGGCACTCTAATTGCACTTATGGCAATAAGTATTTGCCATAAATAATATTGCAAAATAATATTGCACTTTTTATTCATTTTTCTCTACCAAAACGTTTTTTCAAACTGACGTTCGTGCCAACATTGCCATCCATTGGCGAGCATGTTGTTGCAAACGTTGTCAAAATAGAACGATTTCAATTCCATTCGAACATTTTGACAAACACAAAATTTGACAACGAACACTACCATCCACAGGAAAAAGTTCGTCGAGCACAACATGTTCGCCGAACATGTTCGCCTGTGGATGGGCCCCTTTAAACTCTTATATTGCATTCTGCAGATGCCAATGTGACATTGTCTGGGCCATTATTGGTTCTGCATTGGAGTCCTCTATTGTATCCTGTTCCTATATCCTTGCTCCACATGCGATCTAATAAACTTTACATTTGTTTGGTTTGTTTTTTCTTTTTCCCAGTTCTTTGTGCGCCTTACTATATATTGCAGAATTTTTGTTGTATGTGGCCCTTGAAGATTTCTTTTTTTTATATGCTTCTGTTCCGTTTTGCCTTCTCCTTTCATCATTTTTTTTTTAACTTCCTAACTCTTTGCCTCCATTGTTGACTTCTTTTTAAATGGCCTCGTTTTTAGTGGCTTTGCGACTCGGCCGCTCTTCACTCATTTCATTTTCGGACATTTACTTAGTCCATAATGTTTTTTTCTTTTTTCCGTCGCCGGCTTCCTTTTGGCTTTGACAACTTAAAGTTTATCAAATAGTTGCCACAACTTTTTCAGCTTTTGTCTGCACATATTTTTCTGCGGTCGTGCTTTGTGGTTTCTGTTTATTTATGCAGATCTTTCTCTGTGTTTCGCCATAAAGTTTTGTTTGTTTTCCAACGAAAATGCATAACAGGGTTAGTTTATTGGTTTTGTTTTCATTTTTATTCTTATTTTTTTGTGCCAACAATTCTGCGAAGCAATTAAAAAGTATTATTTCTTCTACAAAAGCAGTGGTACTACTTGGCGTATGCGTAATTTTCTGCCCCCTGCAGTCGAAACTCTTGCCAAGAGTTGGTTAAAAATTTTAATTAGAATGCATTTCTTGGGTATCGTTTCCCAGAGTCCACTTCGTTTCTTCCGCTGACCCACTAAATTTTCAAGGTTTTTGTTTCTTGGGTATGAAAACAACACCAAAAACGGGGAAACAACTTCATAAAATTCAGATATTGCTTCGCAGGGAGCCTGGCTTTAATTAATTTTCGCGCTGCAGTTTGTTAGGTATTTGACGGGTTAATCTTTATGGACAGTGACGCAAATTCACATTCCCAGCCATGCTTATATATAAAGTTCGAACATCCAGGGGCAATCAAACGCCCACCGGATTTCGGTGCGCTGCACACATGCCTCGGCGGAGCATAAATCACAAAAAACTATTCTCTATTCCGGCACTTACACGGACGCTTATCAGTGGTTTGGTGGCTTATTGCCACTGCCATTGCCACCGCCGACTTTCAGTCTATATTGTCTAGTGCGATACAATGTGGTATGCGGGCAATATATAGGACTGCTGCCCTTCAATTTTATTCAATAAGTTTCGTTTATGACTTGGACACGCTTTGGTTCCGCTATCTGGTCCCGATTATTGTAACTAATATCGAACATGCGTTTTAATTGAATTTCACGCGTTCCTCATAAAGTTATAGCGTGTCCACTCTCTACTTTATGGCTGCTGGATAAATATAGCCTCCTCCTATTCCGCATCCTGGCTCCTTTAATTGTTTTCGCTTCTTGTTATTGCACAATCGTAAAATCTTGCGCTGTTATTGCAGTGTTCCCTAGCTTATAATAATAATAATCCCAATAATAATAATGGAGAGTGACATCAGTGCGTATACGTAATGCGACGAAAGCTTGTAAAATATATATAATAAGGTATTACCCGGAATTGTTCATTAGCTTTCAATGCGGCTGGTCGAGTGTTTTTGTTTTTTAATTATCAACTGATAATTGCCATCGAAAATTTTTATCAGCACTTTTGACCAGACTAAGGTGAAGTTGGTAGAGGGTTTGGTTCCAAAGACTCTTATCATACATTTGATGACGTATAATAATAATGCGGTTAACGACGGCGTGAAATTGTTGTCGTCACTGTGATCGATCAATTAATTATAAATTAAATGCCGAAAGGGCAAGGCTTTAAAAATGTTGATAGAGGCATTGTGAATTTTTAAGACAAGCCTTTAAATCCATTAGAAATTATTAGGCATTGACATTGAAATTCATTCACAAAGTTTAATTGTTAAAATTTGGCAAAACCAAAGTTGCTTATCATTGCCGGATATATTTTCTGCATTGGTTTATTCATGGTTATTTTATTCAGGATATCCGAAGTTATCAGTCTATTTCGGACATCCGTTTCCGAATTTGTCCTATGTTAAGTACTTCCAATAATTAATTTATAACCCAATTATAAGAAAGTCCCCAATCTGAGATTTCAAAGGCACTCTAGCTTGTTTAGATTGGACCCTGATAACCATCTTATCAAATTTCCTGATCGTTTGCTTTTATTTACCGATTTATAAACCGATCGCCGGTTAGTCACTTACCCTACTTACATATATGATTAGGCGACTTCTTGGCTTGTCAGTAAAAATACAAAAAAATAGTGGTAGTCGTAAATTAAATTATGGCACTAGTTCAGGTTATTTGTCTTCGGGTGAGTTGAGTGCAAGCGCGAGGAAGTGAGTTGCCAAGCCAAGTGACTGACAACAGACGGACGCGGAGTGGCATTGAAAATTGTTTTACTACGGGACCATTTACGAAACAATTACACTTATTTGTGCGCCATTTAACAGCTCCTCCACCGACTGACAATCCATCAGCGGCTGCTTCTCCTCGTCCAAAGGAGGACGGTGCAGCTCAGCTGAACAGAACCGAATACCGGCAGACGCTACTCGACTTCATTTGGGTCTGACAGCTCTGCCAGGAAATAAAGCTTGGCGCAAGGACTTCTACAGAGAGAGAAATAAAAAGGGATTTCCCTTTGTATTGTATACTTTCCGGCAGCAAGTCAATGGTTTTGTAGGTCTAACGATTTCCAGAACTCCCCCAACTGATAACCTAGAAGTAAAAATTTTTTGAAGTGTTTTGCACTGCAGCTAAGGAGTAGCTGCTTAGTATGCAACTCCGTTAAGAGATGAGGCAGCGAAGACAGCTGAGAAGATATAGTCCTTCAATGGCAGGTAAACAAAATTAATCATTCGCCCCGTGGAAATACCTTCTAAAAATATTCGGATAATTGAACGATTATCTTGGCTCGCCCACCCTTGCTTGCTCAGCTTTTTATTTGGCGAATAACTCAATTCGCTCAAATAGGCCTTATTAAGTAGATTCTCGGAAATGGAAAGTCTACGAGATTAAAAAATACCAAAAAGTTCAGCAATTTCCGTTGTTTATCAAGGGTTGTCCCCTTCTTGTTTTCTTTTGTTTTATTTATTTATGAGCCGCTGAAAATGCCTTTATTTTGACAGTGACTAACCAAATAATTGACGGTGCTTTCTTTTTGCTGAAATCAAGGTTGCGCAATTCAGTCGGGCTGGGGAGTGGTTTGATAACGAAATTAGGATTTTCTACTTTACATTCATATCTCGGCCTGGGTTTAATTAAATAGACACCATAGACAATAAACGAATAACCTCCAACTGATGGACGATAGGAGTATTTCTCAATTGAAGTCGTAGATCTCACATTTACTTGCCCGATAGATTGTTTACAGAACATTTTCAAGGAACTGCGAGTGCCATGTCCGGTGCGTACTCCGATTTTCACCTTGATAGGCCTTATCAGTGACTCGATAAGAGAAAAGCCCCGCGAATAACTGAGTTTTTGCCATTTGACATGCGGTAGCTTTTAGGCCCATAAAAGCATTGGCCAGTGCCTCATCTTGACCAAGTTACGAACGAACCGTCAAACAAGCAACATGCAGTGTCCCCTCATCGCCGTCCTGCTGGCCTTTGTGGCATTCAGCTCTGCTGCAGCGAACCCCCAACTTCTGTCAGCCCATTTAAAGATGCTGGATGTGATGAGTGCCACCAGTGAGATGCAGCGCAGTAACCCTGTCCTCGCCTCAACTTGTTTTGATGAATACAAATCGGTTATGGATGATTATAACGAAGTTTACAAGAAGGAGTATAACCAGTGCGACAACACGCGTATTGAGGGAACGAATGGAATTCTTACGCAGTACGATCCTTTAGTGGATGACTTGGGATCCTCGGTGTACCGCTCCTGCCAGGTTTTGATCAATTGTAGTCAAAAACAGAATAATAGCTTGGATGCTCTCAACTGCCTCTCTGTCCAGGTAATTATTCACAAAAACTTTTCAATTTAAAATGAACTGGTAATAATTATTGTATTATCCTAACTACAGGGCAGTGCCGATTCTAGGAATTCGTATGAGGTTTCTAGTAATGCCACAATTAGCGCTGGAATTTTGGCACAGAGTATCAAGGACCTGCAATTTACATTCGAGCTTTGCGCCAATAAATCTGCGAAATATTTTGAAAACAAGTCGGGTGTGGCCTACATCGACTTCCAGAATTGTCTGAAAGGATATGACACTTGGACCAAGCCAGACTCCACTGCTAGCCCAATCACAACCATAAGACCAAACACCACCGAAATCCCAACCACAACCGAAGCCCCAAACACTTCTACCCATCGTCCAAACCACTCAACCGAGCGACCTTCAACCATTTCTCATTTCCAATCGAACGACGGAAAACCGAACAAAGGATGGGAGGGCAAGCTGGACAATATAATCAATCATATTTTTAATTAGAATATGACTTATATTTGATTTTAAACAAAAATGCAATAAGTGATAGGGTAATAAAAAGCCCAAAAGCTAAAAAAAAAACAAAAATTATCTTTAAAAACTACGAAATTATGTACAAGAAATTTCTTCTAAACTTGGCTCAAGCCTATGGTCATTCACTATACTCCAAGTTGAAGGCTGGCTCTATCTCAAAACCAAACAAATGGCATCAAGTGATGAAGTCAATCTGAAAACTCAAACGAGAAACTAAAACCCATTGCAACTTACTTAATTAACGGGCCGATCTAGGTGGAAAGCTGAGCAGGAAGCCAGCAACCTGATGCGATGCAAATAAAACTTTTTGCATTTGCCATCAGTCCAAGTTTATCAAAGATCCGCAGGACACGGGCCAAAGGACTGAAGGACTCGGAGGAGGGTTGGTTGGTGGCTGTGATAGAGAGGAATAGCAAACATGTAAATCAGCTTGGGAAAACTTTACCTCAGGCAGGACAAACAAAAAAGAAAACAGCAAGGACTGTGGAAGTTTAAAGTAACGTTAAGAGTTAAATAAACAGTTGGGGCAGTTACCTAGCGGTTCCTTCTCATTCAAATTTAATTGCATATGTTGTTTTTATTATTATTGTCGGTGCTGTTGCTGTGGGCGTTGTTGTCACTGCAATTAAAACAAATTAGAAGCAAAGTGCTCAAAGGCGGTGCAACTGAACGTAAGGAAGGTGTGCCACGAGTCTACACTTTCCTAAATTCAAACCAATTACTTTGAAAGTATTTCAAAAATATCATGTGCCAAAGGCTCATTTTCTTTAATCAGATTTAGTTGGGTACATTTTTTGATTTTATTTGGAAAAAATTGGTGATACATTTGATTATTGTCTTCTCAATTTACATTCCTATCTGTTATCCTTGCATCCTGCCCTGATTTACTATGCCTGCTTCTAGCTAAAGGTGGGGTGGTGTATTGCATCTTGCTGGGGGACAACAGCAACGCCTTGCCACACACACTCACACAAAGAACACGCAATTAAGATATGCAAATTAGAAGTTGGTGTCTCTCAGCTTTGTCCTTGCTTTTGCTGCTCACAGAAGCAGGAAGGCAACAGGGCCTGATGAGATCTCCACTCCACTGAGCTCTGATAATTATGCAGAGGCATGCAATGAAAATAGCTACAAACTTGGCCAACTATCTAACCGATTTGTATTTGTTTTCGGGGCAACAAAAATAGCAACTCGAGTGACTCATTGCCAAGGTGCTTTTTTTCAAATTCAAATGTAATGGCTACATATGTCCATTTGTTTCCTGTAATTGACCGACAAGCGACACTGATAAACTTTGAAGTGGGACAAGGCTTTTAATTAGTCATAGCTACTGCGCCTGCTGATAAATGAAAAATAAATTCCACGATTAATAGTGACTAAAATTGACAATTGAAAACTATCTGATAAGGTTTGGGAAAACCTAATTCGGTTTATTCCCCTTTTATTTTAAAATTGTCCAGGGGCGGGCGTCCATCACGATTAATTAATAAATTCTACGACGCTTCTGTATTTCCTAGGAATCTAACTGGATGACAACACGTGTAACTTAAAATAAAAGTAGGTACTCTACCTAGATTAGATTGTGTTCTTGGATTCCATAATATGTATTCTGTATTATGTATTGGCCATCCACACTTTGTTAAATGCGTCGTTTTAATGGATACTTTTTCCAAAAGAAAGTAATACCGCCTTGATTTGCGGGAATATGAAAATAATAATTCACGGAATTGTTGACATTGATGAAGTGGTGATCTAATTATCAAAAAATCTCAAAGGGGGTTGGGCGGAGGGAAGCCCTTGAGTTGTTTTTGCGCAAAACGGATTTGTCGGGTGGGTCTTGCTGAGTGGCGGTTATAAAACCGATAACAATGATAGTGACGCTCGCCTAGAGTTGATAGCCCGATTGATAGCCTAAAACTTGGGCCATAACATGGCAATAACATGCCACTTTTTACTGGAAATTATAGGCAGGAATATTTTTTTATGGACCACTCGAGCCAGCTGCCTATAAATGGTGCAGCTGGCTGATGGATTCAATAAGTACTATTCGATCGCTTGTCGGGAGCAGACCAGGAACCTGCTTGATCTTATAACCGTATAATAGTGGAACCGTAGAGTTACAAAAAAATGAACACCAAACTGTGCATCGTCCTTTTGGCCATCGGGCTGACCCAGGCCATCGCCGTGCCGACTCCTACTTTGCTATATCCGCAGACAAACTTTATTCAATATCTGCAAGCCCGCGACTTGACTAGCAACCCATCACACTCGATCGAATGCATGAACTACTACATTCCCAAGATCAATGATGTTGCCAACCAGTTCAATGAAAATTTCCTTGCCTGTTACGACGAGGCTAACCTTGAGATTGCGTCCATCGACGACAAAACCAGCGAGAACCGCACTCAGATCAACACATCTGCCACCGACTCTTGCAAGTTGCTCGAGAGCTGCAGCACCATCGAAACATCTGTTGATTTCTTCTCATGCTACGCCAGTGCTGTAAGTTGAAGCTTTAAGACCTCATGGCTTATATTATAATAATATATCCTTCTTTTTAGGGTTCCGAAAACGCCAGGAACATGTACACCATCTCTGCCGATGCTTCCGAGCTGCAGGCTTACGTGGTGGAGCAGATTCGCCTGATCGAAGTGAATAAGTACGTCTGCACCAACAATTCTGAGCGCGCCTACGTCCAGGACACGGCAGCTGTCTATGATCAACTGAACCTTTGCATTGAAGGAGGCCCACTGCCTTCGGAAACTACTGCTGCTCCTCAGACCACTGCTCCTCCAGAGTCCACTGCTGCTCCTGCCGAGTCTACTGCCGCTCCTGCCGAGTCTACTGCCGCTCCTGCTGAGTCTACTGCCGCTCCTGCCGAGTCTACTGCCGCTCCTGCCGAGTCTACTGCCGCTCCTGCTGAGTCTACTGCCGCTCCTGCCGAGTCTACTGCCGCTCCTGCCGAGTCTACTGCCGCTCCTGCCGAGTCTACTGCCGCTCCTGCTGAGTCTACTGCCGCTCCTGCCGAGTCTACTGCTGCTCCGGCTGAGTCTACGGCCGCTCCCGCTGAGTCTACTGCCGCTCCTGCCGAGTCCACTGCCGCCCCTGCGGAATCCACGGCTGCCCCTGCGGAATCCACGGCTGCCCCTGCGGAATCCACTGCCGCTCCTGCTGAGTCCACTGCTGCTCCTGGGGACCAGGAAAAAGCACCTGAAGAGGACCTGAGCGAATTCTCCGGCGTGCAGTCAGGCGAAAGTCAGAACCTCCAGAAGATTATTCAGAATCTGCAAAACTGGCTCAAGAATCGAGTTTAGGCTTTGAAGATAAAACCTCTGTACATTTCTTCACTATTTATCAACTAAACGAAACGATATGTACAAGGTTTTTTGTTTGCGAAAAAACAATGAATGTATTAACCCCACAATAAAAATAAAAATTTTAATTTATAAAACCGAAAGAGAAAAAGCTAAATGGATTATTTAATTCACTTGAAGGGGGAATAACTAAACAAGTGATTCATTGTATAACCCACTTATCAAATCTTATCAAGTCGAAGTCCTCGTTTAAAGTGTTAAGTACAGTATTACTCGGTATTTGACTAACCGATGGTACAAAAGCAATTAAATATGGCCGAATGATAAGTGCCCACAAAACTAAATTGTCCATTACCAGCCCCAGATAAGCGGCTATTTTTGGGGCTTTGGTCAGAAAAATAAAACTTATTAAAGCGAAATCGGAAGGAATCTCAGAGCCGATTCCTTAAACAAGATAGCAACTTAATTAGCTTTTAATCAGAGTGAATTATTAAACTTTCAATGACGCTACCATTTGCCGAAAATGTGATTTTGGGGTATAAAATGTGATCCATCGACCAGGTGTGGTCAGTACGAATCCGAGATCGGCTTGTGAAGTAGCGAAATATCCTTCTCCTCTAAATTAAAGAATTCAAATAAATAGTGCATAAAAATGAAGTTTGCTTTTGCCCTGTGCCTGGTCTTGGCCACCAGCTGTTTGGCTTTGGTACCAAAGCATCCGGCTGATTTGGCCGCCATGGTGGCTCGCCAGCAGTTCGCCGTCAGGAGCATGATGGCCGCCCCCTCGGTTGGGGACAACTCCCAGCTGGCCAACGATTGCTTCAACAACTACCTCTCCGATCAGACCAACGTGGTCATGGGCTACAACAAGCAGTACACCGGCTGCCTGTCCGACGCCGAACAAGCCCGGAACGACCTCACCGAGGAAAGCGCCTCGGAGCGCAACGACCTTCTGGAACGCACCAACAAAATGTGCACGGATTTGACGGCCTGCGAAGCTAATTCCGATGGCCTGGACTTCTTTGATTGTTACCGCGATGCTGTAAGTATAACAATCTTAAACTTTATAACCTACTTGTTCGTTAACGACACAGGGAACTTAATCAGATTCATAAGTTTCTTAGCGCCCAAGATTGTAGCTAATCCTTTAAAAAAATATATTAGATTATAATGACCAGGTTTTGTTGTTTCCGAACAGATAAGTTTAATCTAAATATGTATGTTTGTTTTCTTATAAGTTGTTTTTTCTTTCAGTCTACCAACAGCTACAAGACCATGTTCACTCTGAACAGTGATTCCAACCTGGACTTCAATCGTGTTAATGCTGCCTACGCCCAGGTGGAGACCGTCTTGACTGCCTGTGTGGACGAAGCTCGATTGGATTATGCTCACCAGATGGACAGTTGCGATGCCAACTTGACTGTTTGCTTAAACGGTGGTGTGGCCCCCACTGAAGCACCAACTGCTGCTCCCACTGAAGGTCCTACCGCTGCTCCAACCAACGCTCCCACCGCTGCCCCCACCAATTCTCCAACAGGTGCTCCTACCGCTGCCCCTACCGCTGCCCCAACCGCAGCTCCTACTGCTGCACCCACTGCTGCCCCTACTGCAGCTCCTACCGCTGGACCCACAGCTGCCCCTACTGCAGCTCCTACCGCTGCACCCACTTCTGCCCCTACCGCTGCCCCAACCGCAGCTCCTACTGTTGCACCCACTGCTGCCCCTACTGCTGCCCCTACAGCTGCACCCACAGCTGCACCCACAGCTGCCCCTACCGCTGCTCCCACTGCTGCCCCTACAGCTGCCCCTACTGCAGCTCCTACCGCTGCACCCTCTGCTGCCCCTACCGCTGCACCCACTGCTGAACCCACTGCTGCCCCTACAGCTGCCCCTACCGCAGCTCCTACTGCTGAACCCACTGCTGCCCCTACAGCTGCCCCTACCGCTGCACCCACTGCTACTGCTGCTCCTACCGTTGCTCCCACCGTCGCCCCCACCGAAGCTCCTGAGCGTCCCCCCGAGGAGGACCTTGGACGCTCGCTTCCAGTGGCTCACAAGGGTATTTGGGACATGTTGAAGCGCTTTGTTTAAGATTGTGTCCACACGAAGCTTTCATTATTTATTGAAATCAATTAGAAATTTTAGAGGCACTTCGAAAGCTCAATAAAAGCCAATGCCTTAAAAGCAAAGAATACTTTTGGGTTTGATTGAAAAATAGATTTTCTAACAAAGGCGTAGGCCTAAAGTAAAGGGGTAAACGTAATCGATGTTAAATAAAATAAATAAATATTTTTGATAAGATATTGGATTGTTAAGCTCTTATGAATTACACGAATCAAGCCGAAACCTACGCCACTGCACGATTAGTGGCATATCGGTCCAAGTGAAGCGCCATAACATGGACTACCGTGGGTTTTCAAGGTGCTCGGAGATTGCAGATCGGATCAGGGGGCCACTAACAAACCAAACGACGTTTGCAATCAGTGTACACGCAGGCTGATAACTAGAACACCTGAACTTGTCAATCGCGCTCATAAAACATTGGCCTTCGGAGCTGGTCAATAAAGCCGATCGGGAGTAAAAGCAAGTTATTAGGAAATGATCAATTAGCCACTCGCCACCCCGGTAATCGTGTCGAACCGGCGTCGTTGATTCCGCGATGGCATTCGAGACCTGCGTCCAAATGGAAGCGCTACGTCTGTTCGGGAGATCGGAGACCCGCTGTCGCCTCTACTGGGTCTTGGCATTGTTGTTTCTTTCCACCTATTCGGGCCACTCGCAGGCCGGTGGGATAATCGACTACCTGACTCTCTCGCCGGATCTAAATATCGACGAGTGTCATGAGGAGTTCACTGAGGCAAGTGCCAATGCCTCGCTGGCCTACTCAGATGCCTTCGAAATATGCGAACTAAACGCCAATGAGACAACCATCAATCTGGAGGTGGATGTGGAGCTGGAACGACTACAGATCGAACTGGGATCCAGTGCTGTGTGCGGAAATCTGCGAATTTGCGATACATTAGATGATGATCTGCAATATTTTCAGTGCATAAGTGAGAATGTGAGTATTTTGTCCATTAAAAATACGGAATTATTTAAAAAATACTATAATTGCGTAGTTGAATAGTTTCGAGAAAAACAAACTGTTGAAAAAAATATTAATAATTATTTAATGGGCCTGGCAGCTGCGCCTATTTTTTGAGTCATACTAACCCATAAAATGCACTTCGAGAAATTTGTTATGAATATAGTAACTTAACAACCATTAAATAAACACAAAGAATAGATTATCTCTAAAGCACACAATGAGTAATATTTAAAAGCTTCAAACATAAGAATATTATTTTTAATTAATTTTTTCCATTGTTTAAATAAGTGTTGTATTTTGTATATTTTTCCAGGGAAGTCGTAATCTGGAAATTTTAACTGAAATTAATTACAATGCGACAAGTGCATATACTCGTCTTCGCGAAGATTACGATGCACTGCATCGCACTTTTCTACTGTGCAGCCTGGAGGCTCAGAAAAACTATATGGAGGCTTTGAAAAAGGCACACAATGAACTTACAGAGTGTCGTTTGGAAATCGATGAATTTATAGAGTAAAGCCCATTTATCTGTTACCATGTAGTTAGATAATAACCGGGTAAATAAACACCAATTAACTGCAATGTGCAAACTAAATTTTAAGCCTGTATTTCCCCCATAAAAAAAAAAGAATCTTATCTTCTGAGTGCATATGTAGTTACACCTAAGATAAGTTAAAGAAAAACTTGTATGTATTATACTTTAATATTATAAATATTTAATGACTTTCATTTTGTTGCAGACATTGGTCCAAGGATTGAAATATCTGATCAGTGGTTTTGATATAATTGTATTCAGTGCGATTTGTGCAAAGATAATGTTCAACTTGAATATAACTTAGTTTTTGATTTAAAATCACAGCCTCCTCGGAGGAACTGAAGGAAATGCTGTACACCGTGGTCAAGTGCTCTTTGGACTGAAAGAAAGGACATATAACTGATTATATTTGCTTTTAGTTAGTAGATGTTTAAGGCCTTACCATCTTGGCGAAACAATTGAAAAAATCCACAGCCTCGCTAATCGCCATGCACCGTTCTATAAAGGAATTTAGTCCCAAGGCAGCCTTACGAATCTTTTCCTGAGCATCACTGACCCTCGATAGCAGTGACTGTCGTTCATTGGTGGCACTCTTTTGGCAGCCACTGTAGCCCTGCGACCAACTGGCTCCTTCGTTCTCCAATTCCGGCATATAGCGAGCAAAGCATTTCTTGGTGGTGCCTAGATTTGAAACCGATTCTTTTCCGTCATTCAAATAAGAACACAAGCTGCTCAAAGCCCTCGGTGGTTCAGCATACACCTAAAATAAGTCCTCTGGATTATAAAATATAGTTCTAGAAGCAGCGGTTTATATTCAAGGCTTACCCTTAGGGCAACGAGCAGAACTAGCAATGTATTTAAAGCACTTTTCATGTCTCTGATCAGAAATCGACTGAAATTTCCACGCAAAAAAGCCCAAATTGGAAAAGTAATCTGACGTTGATTCATGGTTTGTTTATATGGTGTTCTTATCGGTTCGGACCGTCTGCAAATGTGGATCCAATAAGTCCAAAACTGTGATCGGTATAAAATCATTGCATACTTTTGGATACCCTTGCAAAAAATGAAATGTTATGCGAATATTTACCTAAAATAGGAATATTTTTCTTGGTCTGCAATTAATTGCTTTATAATTCTTTTTTTTTCAGATAAAAAGTAGGTTGATTTTTTCATTAGATATACCATTTAATTACTCATTATATAAAATCATTACAGCGATTGATTCGCTGCAAATGGTAAACCCTTAAGCTGCCGAATGACTTTTCGACAAGTTCAAAGAACCGCACATAACCGCGGCTTCCGGTGGGTGGCGTCTGGGCCATCTTATCTTTTGGCCCTGAATACACGTGAATGGCATCGATGGGAATGCACATGCAAAGCAATTTGTGGGCTCTGGGCATTACGCATAGGTCTTAATACCTTCCTAATTGATCACCTTCCGCCGCCGCGGAAAAAATTCACAAAATTTCATTTGCGAAAACGGATCAATCATCCGCCCCGTCGGCCGCGTATATAAAGCATTTGGCACTGCTTTCTGCCAGCGACAGTTCACATCCGACCGCCGACCAAAAGACAAAATACCGCCATTATGAAACTTCTGTGTAGTGTCCTGATCCTCGCCAGCTTTCTGGCTGCTCAAGTAAAAAATATTTTGGTGCTCAGCCCTCATGTGTTCGGTTGAAAGTAATGTTTTCGTTCTTCAGGCCAAGCCCAATGTACAGTTGCAACTGCAGAGTGCATTGGACAAGTATCTGGTGCATGCCCGCGACCTTGACACCATCGTCGCCCCGGATGTGACCAGCCAGTGCTTCAGTCTCTATCTGCCCATGCTGAACGAGGTGGCCGCCACCTTCTCCAGCTCGTACCAGGGTTGCATCAGCACCGCGAACGCCCAGATCGCCAACCTGACAGCCGAGGCCACCACGCAGCAGAAGGAATACCAGCAGGAAGTGTCCACCCTGTGCGGTGCTTTTGCCACTTGTGACAAGGACAATGACACCACCACTTTCTTCAACTGCTACGCCAGTGCGGTGGGTTATTTTTAATATTCCTTTGATGATTTTAAATAATAATTGTCTAATTAATACCTAGGCTGAGGGTGATGTATCCACCATCTATGATATCGCAACCAACGCCGCTAGCTCGGCCAGCAGTCTGAGCATGGGCATCAAGGCCATTCAGGACACCGAGTACCAGTGCACCAACACGACCGAGAGCAACTACGTCCGCGACACTGCCGCTACCTACGATCTGCTGGACAGCTGCCTCAAGTACGGCGTACCCACCACCTCCGCTGCCACGACTGTCGCCCCGACTCTCGCCCCCTCCACTTCTAGGCCCGCCGCTAGCACGAGCGGGGCTGTTGGCACTAGTGATGCTCCGACAACTGCTGCTGTGACCACAGGCCGTCCCGGAACACCAGCGTCCGTCACTACCCCCGCTGCCGGAACTCCGGCTCCTTAAGTCTTGCTTCCAGCAATTCCAAACAATAAATGAGCATTCAAAAATATTTATAGATGTAAATGAAAGGGGGTTTTTTTATTTTAGGTACTTCAGGTTTTTTGTTTTAAAAATATATAAAGTTTTGTATAAATTCTATTCATAAATATTAAATTGAAAGTGTTGTTTGTTGCCATTTGACCTTTTAAAAAACAGACAGTCTAAGCCTGAGAGTTTCTTTTTTTTATGTTTTTCTCGGAAACGAGCATTAAAAAATAATTATGTATGTAAATTGAAGGGGTTGTTTTTTATTTTAGAAACTTTAAGTTTGTTGTTTACAAAGTAAATAAAGTTTTGTCTAAATTCTATTCATAAATATTAAATTGAAAATGTTGTCTGTTACCACTTGACCTTTTAAAAAACAGACAGTCTAAGCCTGGGATTTCTATTATTTTTCGGTTATTTCTGACCAGATCTAGAGAAGATAACCCATCCACGAGCACGAGCACTCGCCAATGTTAGAGGGTACATTGCCAAGATATTTTGGAATCCCAGACAGATGTGATCGGTAATGAGACTCAATGGAAAGTTTTTAAACATTCGGGTGGGCCTGACCCATCGTCTTACGCCCCCTTTCTGGGGCAGCTAGCTGTTGACCGTTGAGTGAATATAAAGCGAGTGTAAATATTCAATCCGTATGTGGTCTTATCGGCGATACATTCAATTATCTCTCCGTGTTTGTGGCTGTTAACGCTTTAAAGCGTGTGGACACATACTAAATTGTGCTCAGTCGAAGTTTGTTCTCGGACCATTAAACACTGAACATGAAAGGCCAACGCGTTGTCGTCGTCGTATTTGCTGTCGTTCTCGCCGGACTGTGCGTGCTGTCCGGGCTGAATGTAATGAAAATTAAAATCCCCTAGAAGTAGTGTCTTACATAGAAAAAAATATATTTGGCAGTGTTACAAAAAGTTAATTAAGGCTAAAACTAAATTATGGCTTATGTTTAACCAAGCTGCTAAGATACCTACAAAGTTATTCCTCACCTTTTTCAAAATGTTATATTTACAATTCTAACCATATTTTTGTTTGTTTTTATTTTAAATCTAAATATAATAAAAAGCGCTTTTCATTAAAGTTCTTTGATTATCGAAAAAAACCTTATTTTTAATCAATTTTTTATTTTTATTGTGAACACCTGCCAAAAACTTAATCTAATCGTTAACATCTTAAAGAAATTAAATAAATAACATATGTATTATATATTCTATATTATCTTATTATTATTTAAAATGTTTTTTCTTGGTGCACATTTAACCGTTATCCGTTATCCTTTTAATAGGCGGCACCCGTAGAATGCAATAACAGCGGTGGAACGCAGTACTCTGAGGATGGCCTTCAGATCCAGACACAGACCGGACCCGGTTGTCAGTACCAGACCTCCGAGGATGGTACCCAGAGCCAGGGCCAAAGTTCAACTGGGGGAGGCTACCAGTCCCAGTCACAGTGCAGTGGCTCCGCCTGCGGACAATTTACTCCCTTTCCACCCCTATTCTCCCTGAGGCCAATGGAACCCCTCACCTGGCAACCGTGGGGCTTCCAGAACAATCAGCAACAGCAGCAATTGGAGGCTATCTAAACTTAATATTTAAACCCTTTTACTTCAACTCTTTTAATTAAATAAAGTGTGTTAATTTTTCTATTTTAATCTATATGTTTTTTTATGTTATTGAACTTATGGTCATTAGTATTTTATTTGTTCTTATCTTATCATAATTTTTCAATAGATACTCCGATCATAAAAGCCTATGAGCCTATTATACCTAGTAAAATAGGTCTTCTTTTTCCAAATCAAACAATACGATTTCATGTTTTCAAATTTTATTTTATAAACAAATTAATCAAATTTTTGTCTAGAGTCTGTCTAACTCGACTTGATCTCCCATTAAGAGGTGACTCATTTCATCATGTTTTGATTCTCCAGCCGCTCGTGTCTAGTGCTATTTAAATAATCACTTAGTCAGCCTGATTATCAATTTTATATTCGTTGGTGCCAATTAATTCACAAGATCATTAAATGATCATTCTGTTGGAACATGTTTTGTGTCAAAATTTTATTTTCAGAAGGCCAAAGATTATCACTATCATTTGTTAATGAAAAAAAGTGAACTCTTTAGTTTGGAAACAATAAATTGAAAGGCGAGGCCAAAGATAACAAATCATGTGCCTTAAAATTGAGGAATAAGTGATAAATAGTGTCTTAATAATAAATAGTTAGTAGTTACACCCAAATGCTTTAATCCTGATCTCTCCTCGAAATTTAACAAAAGCTTATTTTCGGAAATGTCTGCAATTTCCGGCACATCTCCCCAAAACTTTTCCTTATCACTTAAATCCCTCGGATTGCGCCATCAAAAAACCAAAAATAATGATGAATGTTCGTTACTTCTCGTCTGCGGTTAATGCAATTTTTTGTTTCCTGTCACTTTTCCGCGACTCCAGATAAAACTTTTGCACAGTGCCCCAACTTTTGCTGTGGCACGGTGCTGTGTGTGCCATGGCTTGTGGCAGTCAGGGTGGCACCTTCGTCAGCCCACGGCGACGTGTGCAAGTAATTGTGGCAAAGCGCCACAATAATCAACGTCAGATGGAGGATATCGTCAAGCGTTAAGGCCGCCAGCTGGCTTTTAACTCATTTTCTGATTAAAATCAGGGCCATTAAGCGTGCTGGCTCGATTCGGACTAAACTTTTTAAATGGCCCTGACAATAGTTGCCACTGTTTGTGGCAGTAGCAGTAGCAGCGGCAGTAGCTATGTATGTGCAGCTAGAGCTTCTTATGATCCTGCAGTGCGGCCGCAAAAGGACGCGAGAAAATTGGCGCCTGCAACGAACAACTTCTCTGGTCACGACAGGGTGCAGAATTCGGTGTAAAATTAAATTAAAACTGCCAGGGAAGAACGAGTTGAATGAAAATAAATACACAAGGAAAAAATGTGGGTTTAAAAGTGGGTTTACTTACAAATACATTGAAAAACGTAAAAATTTTTTTAATTTTTTAATTAATTTTTGTAAATCTTTCTCTTAGATTAAACCTTGATTAGCATTTATAGAATTATATATTCCTCTTACTATGTGGCTAAAAATCCAGTTGAAAACTGTGAAAATATTTGCGAGCCTTTGGCAAGAAGCAGCAGGACCAGATGGACGATAGTGGAAAAAACAGCAGGATGAGAATGACGAGGGGCGCCTGGGAAGATGGGTGGCTGGCAAAGAACTCTCAGCACCAGCTGTCAGCGATGTCAATTAGTTTTTGAAGCGATGCTGACCTCCTTGAGCCGCCCACCACCCACTGTTAGCCTTGCCTGTCCCTTGGCCAAGTCAAGTTGGCTTTAAGTTAATTGCACAAGATTTCACTTTACACTAGCTTCTGTTGCTGCTGCTACTTCCGTTTCCGCCTTGCCCTGCGCCTCTCGGCTTCCTTTTCGCCATTTTTTAATCAAGTTAAAAGTTATTTTTAAATGGAGTGCGAGGGAAATATGCAAACGCAATGCAAATATCACAAAGGACCCGCTCAGATCTGGCGGCAATTGTGGGAAAAATAAAAAAAATGTAAATATATTTATGTAGTGATTATTTCATGAGGCGTTCGAGGCCAGATTGGTTTTGCCATACGAATGCCTCCGTCTCATTATTGCATGATTGTGGGCGAATATTTTTAACTGCTTTCGTCACATTTAATGTATGCGATTTCGAATGTTAAGCCAACAAATTAATTACGCTCGAAAATGTTAACGGACGAACTTATCTATCAATTAAGTTTATTAAAAGATAGCCTTGTTTGCTTTAAAAATGATATGAAAAGGCTTGCAAGTGAAAGCTTTTATCTAGGTAATTTCTATTTATAATTCTGATATTCTATTTAATAAATGAATGATAACTCTGTTGCCAACCTCATTTTAATACAGATATAATACCATCTTGTTTGAGATTAAATAATATTTATGCTTATGCTTTTCTCCTCACCTGCCCGTAGTATTTCATTTGTCATTTGGATTGCCACTTTTTTTTTGGTTTTATAAATTATCTTTGGCAGCGAAAAACAAGCAAGCTATTTTGGAAGCCCTACACCTGCAAGAGCCTTTGATTGATGATACAGGTAATTGATAAGGCGTCTCAGTCAACCCAGCCCAGCTCACCTTTTCTGCCGGGTGCTCCCCTCTCCACTAATTGGGTGCTAAGTAGGTGATGTTTTAAAATATTTTACCAAAGCATTTTTGTACATTTTTTGTCGGACGGGGGACGGGCACACCCATCTGCTGGGATGGGTGGCATTTCTTTGGCTAATTATGCAATCAAAGCTTAGTCAACGAGCTCGTTCCGGGATGGTTTGAGCTAATTAGAGCGTCCAACGTTAATTGCAATTTGCAAAAGGGAGAGATGTTATTTTGCTGCTCCTTTTTTTGGAGGCAATATGGGGGATAGGGTGGAATTGTGGGTGGAGGAGGCTTTCCCGGTTTTCCCTTAATGTCGCTCAACTTCTTCAGCTGTTGCTGTCGTTTTGGCGGCGTTGTCACGTTTTTGGTGGCTGCTCTTCTGTATGACTTCATTTCATTGCAAGAGCCTGGATGCCACAGATGTTGCACTTGCCACGCGATTTGCAGTTACGTGTGAGTGAGATAGCGCCAGCAATAGAGATAGAGATGGAGATAGCGAGTGCGATAGGGACACCGATGTAACGGAATGCCGGAGCTAGAGCCGAAAATTTTCTAATTTTCTACTGCAGTGATTTCGCATGCATAGAGAGTTGCCACAGTCCCTGCGAACTGTCTACCCCATCCAGTCCTGCCTTCTCCTCTTGGCAACTACTTTTCGACCCTCTTCTGGCTGCATTCCACTGATTTATGCGCATCAATAAGTTCTCAGAGTGCGATACTTATGCGAAATGTGCCGCAATGAGACGTGGACTAGCCCATGGCACGTTTGCCTGCAGTTGCTGTCCAACTTGCCATTCCCGACCCTACCCCATGCTGCTTCTGCTCCAGCTGCTAAAATAATGATTTGCATTTCGATTTGGGTTTCGATTTCCATTCGGATTTTGCCGAGATAAATGGTTGGGGATAGCGGGAAGAATAGCCCCGATCAACCTGCTGACTCTAATGAGAGTGTTGCACACAGCCAAAAAAAAAATGAATTCCTTTTAAATGCCTGTTTTATTCATTAAGAGCCTTCGGGTTCTTTAATGTTTATAGTGTATAAATAATTCATATATCTGGCAATATACATATATTATAGTATATAGAGGTTATAATATTCATTTATTTGATATTTATTTATTTTAATATTTAAAATTTTCATGAAACTAAAAGTAAATATGGTATATTCATCAAAACCTATGAAATCATAAAGCATGTATATTTTTGGCGTGGTGTATTTCCTTCCTAAACAGCTTATCGCCTTCTGCGGGGGTGCAAAGCCAAATGCCCAGCCAAATAATTCATTTTCGCCGCTTTGTTTGTTGGCCACGTTTACGGCCCCCGCTTATCTTAATGGGTCAAAGGTTATGGCCAGCCTTGAGATGGGACAGTCTGAATTTCCGCTGGCCACCCATCCACCTACTCAGCAACCACCCATCGACCACTGGCCACCGGCAGACATCCTTTGCATTCAAACGGCGCACCACAGTGGGTCCAAAGTCTTTGGCCAGAGATTAGGCGTGCTTATAGGCAGATTTATGGATCGTCAGAATGGGAAAACCTTTTAGCCCCCGACCACCCCAGTTCAGATTGTGATTCGGCAATAAACACACTGCAGAGCAAGCAATTCGGAGTTCCATAAGCGGCATTTAATTAATTCGAAAATTACGTTATTTTCGACTTGTGCTCACTCGAGTCGAGCCCTCAGACTCCGGCAGACTCTGCACAAAGCCGTGGCACACTCAGCTCATTTGCTAAATCAAGCGAGCACCACTTAAATTTTCATTAGACTGTTTTCACCGCTTTCCACCTCAGACTTCTCCAGAGCAAATACGAGAAGGAAAAGGGCAGCCCAATGAGGAGAGTACGGGGGCTAAAGATGGGGAAAAAACCGCAGAAATGTGCGCACTTTGTCTTAATGATGTTAAAGTGAATTTAAACTTACGTGATTTTTACGTGAGCTGCAGTAATTGCTGATGCACTGGCATTTGCAGTGCACTTCCAGCACTGCACTCCCATGACTTTCAGAAAAGGTGAATGAGCTCAGCTCGAAAGCTCCAAAGAGAATATGATGGCTCCCATGTGCGGACTCCGGACTCAGACTGACTGTAAGGGCGTTTGAGTCATATTTCTGATATGGTCTCATCATTCAGCTAGTGCCAGAGATTTGGCACATGTGCTCACGTCTGGGCCATAAATATTAGGGTTAAAGGCAGCTTGGCAATGGCGTATTGGCAATGGCAATGCCGGAGCAGGAGATCAAACCATAAATTTAACACGTTTTCACCATGTGCAGCCAGACGACGGCAGTTGAGTGCAATTGCCCACGGCAGCTCTGCCGGCACGTCACACATCGCGTATACGTAATATTACGTATACGCCACGGTGCCTTGCATCCGGCTCAACTGACATTTAAAACCACCTTCAACCCACGGGGCCAGCGCCTCGTTGTCATA